GGGGGGGGGGGGCGATGACTCAACGAGAATGATGGTGCTGGACCGAGATGAGGCATGGGGTAAGGCTGTGATCTCACGGCGGATATTCGATGGTTGCCTCTTGCGGCGGGTGTCAAGATCGCGCATTTAATCACGTACGCGTTGTCTAAACAAGAGCAGTCTGGTTGGGCCTCGTATGGTGCAACTGGTGTTTATAGGGAGATATTTAAAAGTTCGTCGATCTGATCAGCTGAGAGTGGTGTATGATTGGAATAAAGTTAAAGTGGATGTCTCCGATTCAAATGCAAGAGGATTNGTGGGGAGGGGGGGGGGCGTTGACTCAACGAGAATGATGTCGCTGGACCGAGATGAGGCATGGGGTAAGGCTGTGATCTCACGGCGGATATTCGATGGTTGCGTCTTACGGCGGGTGTCAAGGTCGCGCATTTAATCACGTACGCGTTGTCTAAACAAGAGCAGTCTGGTTGGGCCTCGTATGGTGCAACTGGTGTTTATAGGGAGATATTTAAAAGTTCGTCGATCTGATCAGCTGAGAGTGGTGTATGATTGGAATAAAATTAAAGTGGATGTCTCCGATTCAAATGCAAAAGGATTCATCCGACTTTGACGGTTATGAATATTTTTCCAAGAAGAATCTTTCGGTTACCGGTGTTTCCGAGAAATTATTTATCATTTTCACAAACTAAAGTTCCGTTTGAATTGTGGTGCAGAGTTGAAGAGTGGGGGGGTCGGAGGGTATAAGTAGTTCATTTCACAAGGGATGCATCAGTTGAAATCATGGAGAAACTCTCGATAGACGATATCCACTTTCTGATCAGAACTGCCCCGTACTTGTTCGGGTTCGAGGAAGTTGTAGAGAAACATTTCGGGGATGATCCACCGGAGCGTGTTTGGTCCTTAATTGATGACATTCTTCTCTTGGAGAGAAATTACGTCGATTTGAGGAAGAGGAATGAAGAAGAAATTTCTGCTGATTCTTCACTGCCGATGTCTGCTGTTATTTCAAAGAAGCTGGAAGTTATTCTGAATTGCATTGAAGATTTAATTCAACGAGTGAGCGACGATTTTGTTGGAGACCGATGGGCTAGCTCCTGGTGCGAGCCATCAACCAGCAGCGGATTGAAGAGGAAGAGAGGATAAGATCTCACGGAGTACACTCCAGCTACACCAATGCTGGGCATCCTCAATGAATTAAAACTCGGAGTGAATATAATGTTCAATACTTTG